GAAGAGAATGAGGGAAGGAGAAGACAAGTCTAAAGATTGAGAACTTTGTAATGGTTAAAACTGTGCAAAAAGAGGAATCCAAAAAGAAAAGACATAAAAAAAAAGGAAAGGAGAGGGCATGTATGTGTGCATGTGAGTGCGTATGAGAGAGAGAGAGAGAGAGAGAGAGAGAGAGAGAGAGAGAGAGAGAGAGAGAGAGAGTTGGAGGAGATGATTGGGGACAAAGAGAAGAAGTAGAGAAACAAGAGGAGAAAAAAGAATGAAAGGCGGAGGAAAGGATATATAGTCTGAAAAACAAATGTTGTCACCTTCACAGTTTCATATAGTTGACCTGTACCAGTGTTAGAAAATTAATCTCTACCAGAGATAAACACCTTTTCTCAGACAATGCTTTGACATATCTCACCATTTTCATTAGCAAAGAGTCACACGACCATTCCTAACTATTACAAAGGAAAGCAACAATAGGCATAGAAATGATTGAGGAGTACCCCTTATTTACTATGTGACCGTGAGAGATGACCTTTGGATCCCTTGTTTTCACAATGTGACCTCGAATAAGACACACATTATCTCAGGCACAGAGGTTCATTTTCTCTCCTGTAAATTGTGGGGCTTTTCCTCCCTGTAAATTGACTTTTCCATCTCCAACAATCTCCTATTTTGTGAAATAAAAAATTATTATTTCTACTGTAATTGCACTCTAGCAGTTAATAAGAATAAAAACTAGTGAAATTCCTCAATAAATTTTTGATCTTTTAATTTATAAAAATGAAAATGAGGCAATCTACATTTTATAAAGGTATCAAGCTACTCTTTCTTTATCTCATCTTATAACTTAGTGATATTGAGTTATCTTATATATAGAATAAAATTTTTGCTTTTTCTTACTTTAGTGTTTTTGAGTTGTTGTTTTGTTTGTTTATTTGTTTGGCATGTGCCTTTCAGCATCTTGTGGGCAAAATCCAACAAACAATAAATGAGGGTTTCTTCCAAGATGTATAAGGTAAAATCTTATTAACTTAAAAGATCTCAGAAATTTTATGTATTTTAATTAAACCAGGTGACTTCTCAACAAAGCATAGTTATTTTAAATGTGTGGATTATTTCCAGGGGATTTACTAAAAGATAAAAATAATTCACCATTGATAGTAATTATCATGTATTATTTGTATTGTGAATGATCCATTTTTTGTCCTTGGTCTATTTTTCTTGTAGGTGTACATCATTTCTTATTTACATATGAGGCTTACATATAGTAATTTTTACTTATCTGTCTTATTTGTAGAAAAGTTTTGCCTCAGTTCATTGTTTATTTTTAGTCTTGTGCTATTTGTTGCTTTAAATAATTTAAATATCATATTTTATGGTTAAATTTATCAATGGTTAAATTTATGTTTCTGGTTTGTTGTCATATTTAGTCTTTCCTATCTTAGGGTTATGAAAACTCCCACCTATATTCCTGTCTAGCATTTTATGTTTTAAATTTTTACATTTAAATGTTGAATCCACTTGGAATCTATTTAGTTGTAAGGAGTTAAGTAAAGAAACTGATTAATTTTGCAACATGGCCCACCAGTTATACTAGCCTTGTTTCTTGAAAAATCCATTATGCCTAGAAAAGTATATGGTGAGTTAATGTATAGCATTAGGAAGTTTTGTAAAGTAATCACACACCAAACCATGACTGAGGTGCAGAAGTAGAGTGAAGCCAGAATCCCAAGAGCAACCAACCTCTTGCCACATACCCCACATACCTCCTCCAAAAGATGACCATTATTCTCACTTTCATGGTAATCACCTCTACACCTGTCTTTAGTTGTCCAGCTAAGCATATATTCCTAAACACTAAGGTGTTTGGCCTTGCCTGTTTTGAAATTACATCATCTAACAATATGCATTATTTGTGGCTGGCTTTTTACACTCTACATTTTTAAGATTCAAGCATGATGTGCAACCAATGGTGCTTCCTTCATTTTAATTGTTGTAGAGTGTTCCATTTGAGAATATAATAGATATTTATCTATTCTATTATTGGTAAACATTTGGGATATTTTTCCTTTGAAACTACTTGGAATAGTGTTTCTCTGGTTGGACTGGAATATCTCCTGGTACAAATATGTATGCTTTTCTCCAGGGAACGTAGCTAAGAATTGAGTTTCTAGTTTAAATATTATGCATATTGACTTTACCAGACAATGCTAAATAGTCTTCCCAAATACTCTACTAATTTATACTTTCACTAGCTGTAAAAAAATATCAAACAAAAACCTGCTTTGTACTTCCAAACCACTGCCAAACTTATGGTCATTTTTTGAATGCTTGTTTATCTGATTAGTTTTGGAAAAAATCTCATTGTGGTTTCAGTTTGCATTTCTCATATGCTTAAGAGGAGAGGATCTTTATATATGTCTAGTGATCATATGAATTTTTCATTAAAACAAATATTGAAAAACTTTAACTTTTAAATAACATGACTTATTATTTCAGAATAAATTTTTATTATAAAAAAGCCAATAATTTTGGTCAAAACAATTAAGATTTTGATACTTAGAAATCATTCTACAAAATTTGTATTTGGAGTTAATACTTAGTGAAAATAAATTGGAAATTATATAGCATATCAGAAATTACAGGCACGTACCTTTTGTTTAACATTAACAATATTATCTAATCAAATTATTCACACAAAATAGGTTCTCAATAATTATTGAATTTCTTATAAGAGATATTTTTGAGTAAGTGCAGCAGGGTTTTAAATTTTAATCTAATACTTGTGGCAAATATAAACACATTTTAATGATTGTGAGAAATTTTAAAGTAAAAAGATCTAAATTGAGTGAGATATATTTTATTTGTTAAAATGATTACTTGCACATAGAGCTATATACTGTGCTTCTTGTAAAAGTATTGACTTTTTTGTATTTTATTTGAGTATCAAATTTGAAATGTTTAAGTAAAATATATTTTGATAAAAAATCCTAGATATCTGCCTTATTTCATTACTCTTCTTTGCTAGTAGTTTGTCTCTCTGTCTCCACAGTCTGGATGATTATTATTATTCATACATCCACTCATGGTGAGGGCTAGCAAGGTTATGCACACCAGAAGGTAACTGGGGCTCAGATAATCTGGATTCTAGCACCAACACTGCCGATGTCTACTTCCCTGGCTATAGGCAAATCATTTAGCCTCAGCATGCTTGAGTTTCCTCATCTATTAAATACATTGCAGCAAGTCGTGGATCTTCCTGACATTTTACAAAAAATAAATGTGTGCTGGTATGTTCTTCCAGGGAGAGATCTGGAGTCTACCAGTTATAGTTCTTGATAGCAAACAACAGAAACCAACTTTATGAACTGGAATGAAACAGGATTGAATTAGAAGGGGTTAGGCTCAGAATGCAATGCTGCACAATCAGCTCATGCAACACTCCAGCTAAGCAAGGCACTGCCAAGACCAGCCCCAGCTGCCACCACTTTTGAACTGACTGCTCTGTGTCAAGCTCACTGCTCCTGTGCCCTTGAAGTCACCCTCAAAAATCAAAGCCCTGCCAAGAGTATCTGGTGTGTCCCTGTTCTGTCTGCCAGGGCATACTAAGAGGGAATCTCGTTGGGCAAGGAAAGGGACTCTGTCTTCTGCTGAACTTGGGACTGTCTCCAAGTAGAAAAATAGACAGGTTGAAGGGCAGCCACCACAGGAGTATCTATTGCCATGTCTTTCACCAGTTTCTCAAAGGGACCATGGCCTCAACACTTATGCCAGAAAAGATAATGAATCACTTCATTGGATCATCTATCATTACAGCTCTAAAATTATATGATTCTAAATACTAATTTTCCCTTCTCCCATTCTCTACCAACTCGGAATTTCTTTAACAAGATACAAATGCAGCAACAGAATGACTAACAACAGTGTGGGGTCAGTCCTGAAGCATCTCATGATCATTTCAGTGGGTGTATAATTATGATGGTTGGCTAATGACAGAGAGTAACAGATGTCTCAAAGTAGTTACCCAGCTGAAATTTTGGCAAACTAGTCCAAATTCCTTAAACAAAAGGAATTTACTCTCTTGTATAGTCTTCTGGTGCTCTGTTATGGGTATACTCAGGTGCAGCATGGCTCAATGGTTAAGTGTGCACACTTTAACATTAATGAGCATGGATATAAATTTTGAATCTCTCCCTTATGAACTGGGTCACCATGGAAAGTAACTTGGCCTTGTTTTTTTCTTGTTTAGTAAATGATAGTGGTTATGCTAGTCAATGGGTGTTACTATGAAAACAAAATGATGGAATTTAAGAAATTATAATGTTTGACACATACTTACAGCTCAGGAAGTGATGATAAAAGTCATAATGATATTAGGGAAGTCCCCAACGCTGAACCAAACTCATTCCAAAAAAATGTTTACATGTTTATTTTAAGTCAAAAATGATAAAGATTTTTAAGTCATGTGCAGTGACACATGCTCCATGTTAAAATGTGTTTAATGAACTATAAAATTGATGCAAAACAATCACTAAAATGTCATGTTGGAATGTACCAATGAACATTTTTTTCTTTATGTGGTGGATACACCCAAAAGAAAAATATTTTTAAATGAACATATTAGGCTAAATTTCTCAATATATGTAAAGTTGATTCAGTTACATTCAATGGTACCATCAAACTAAGATGAATATGAAATACCCCGAGAGTTTAATAACTGAATTAGTCTTCAAAGATGAAAGAAACAAAAGGTGGACAGTAGTAAAGGTGAATGACTTCTGAGCCAGCAGTTGTCACTGGAATTGTCACTTCCACTCCCGACTGCCTTGGTGCTTGTGTCTAACCTTCTAACCCCATAAGGGGTTCAGAAAAGTTGTTTGCTGAGCTAGAAATGGTACAGCCTAGAACTGGTCCGGAGGTCTGGCTTTAATAGTGTGCTTGTTTCCTTTGAAAGCCTTCCTGGTTCTATAAATCTCCTAATGTACGTGCTCTGCCTTTGTATTTTGCAGGTAAATGTGAATGTGGCAAATGTACCTGCTACCCGCCGGGGGACCGCAGGGTGTATGGGAAGACATGCGAGTGTGATGATCGCCGCTGTGAAGACCTCGACGGTGTAGTCTGTGGAGGTGAACAATTTAACAGCCTTCCGCTACTGCATGCCACATGCTTCACCTGCCTTCCTTATTCTACTTAACCTTTTTTTTTATTGTTGAGAAGAAGATAAGCAAAAAATAATACACAATTCAACCTAAAAGCAATATACAGTTATGCTTGTAATGACCTTTATGTTCTTGGACTCTTGATTTCGGGCATGTGAAAGTACACAGTGCACTATTGATAAAAGATGGTTGAGACTAAACTAAATTCTATGGAGATAGTAAAAGGCTTTGCTGCCACTGAACAGTTTAAGATGATTTTTATTATTGTACTCATAAATCCTGAGGGAAGTAAGTATCACACATAAATTTGAAAAATAAAACACACACACATAGTAAGATAACTTCCTAAGTTTAATTACAAAATCACAGGAAATACACAATATCTCAGTTCCCATAATGGCTCTGAGACCCAAATAAGAGCTTATGAAAGCAAGAAACTGCAAAGAACAAATGAGACAGATAGAAGGTGATCAGCAAAACTGAGAGTCCCAGAGATAGAAGGTTGACAGTGTCTACCTGGTCTTCATTCAGAGGAGGGGATGGGAGTCAACATTATTCTCATAGTTCAATCTTGCAAAATCTGATACTGTAGAGATGAAACATGCTGATGATGCCTCCTCCTAGGTTTCCAGTACAACTGAGGAGCACTGGGTATGGAATCAGACTAAAAGAATATAGCTGTATTTCTTTCTTTTTTAAAATATATTTTATTGATTTTTTACAGAGAGGAAGGGAGAGGGATAGAGAGTTAGAAACATCTGGGGATGTGCCCACTACCAAGGTACATGCCCTTGACCAGAATCGAACCTGGGACCCTTCAGTCCGCAGGCCGACGCTCTATCCACTGAGCCAAAAACGGTTAGGGCTATAGCTGTATTTCTTCAAGACAGTTATCATAATGCAATTGGGCATTTTATTGGATGAAATCAACATGCAGGTACAACATAGAAAAGGCAGGGACATTATCACTACCATCTGTCTAATGTCCATGTGTATCTATCTATTATCTCTCTAACCAACTATGAAACACTTGCAAGTCGACTGAAAATTTCTTCTTTCTTTTCTTTGTGAGCCAAAGTAACGGCCCTTTCTAAGGATTATGGTGCCAGGTGGTTTATTTAACGCAGCCCTCATGGCAGCCGCCTTCAGTAATTGTTCCTGCTTTCTTCATCTTTCAAATAGAAAAGTGAGTGAGGTTTGAGGTGTTGATGTCCCATAGCTAAATAGCAGCAGTCCCAGGATCTGACACTGATGTTCGGTTCACAGATCTCTCCCTATACCACAGTTTCCCCCAGCATAACATTAAACTGTTTGGACTTTATCTCAATATTACTTTTAGTTGAGATTGCCCCTTCACTGGTATTAGTTACCAGAAGTATCTAGGCAGAGAGCGGTCTTTTTTATTAAGTACAGTATGTATATTGACTCATTTAATTCTCACAACGGGGTATAGAAAGCCTGCCGGGCACCTAGAGAAGACCTTGTTATCATTGCCATTTTCTCTGGCATGCAGTGTCTACCTCACATGGGTCTCCTTGCCCAGATGCGCTGGTGACTTGGTTGAAATGGTTGATGTTGTAGAAACCTCTTATATCTACACATCCTTTCACATTCCAGTGAGTACGTTTTTTGTTTTCCTTGTTATTGATTTCTTCATTTTTCCTCTTGATGGTTAACCCTATTGCTTGGAGAAAGAGCTCCAGGAGGGAGAGGGTGAAATATCTTCATGCTCATGTTTATCCTAAATAACATAGCTTGTCAATACCTTTTGTGACAACAATGTGTTTAGAGCTGTGACTGTCTGGTCTTCAGTTTTAGGTGGCATTGATTTCTCCTTTCTGGTCATTCTTATCACACTTGACACTGAGCTATCAAATCAAAGTGACTGTCACTCATCTCAGAAGTATGTTTAGTGTCTCTTACCCTGCGGTGCATCTTCTGTGGAGAAGCTTCACATGGATTCACCCAAGCATGGAGGAGCACAATTAAGAAGACACTGGCCATTAGGGTTCCTCAAGCCACAAAACGCACTGGCAAAGTTTCTGTGTTTCTCAGTCTATCTAAAAATGCCCATTATCATAAGGAAACCTCTCTCATTATTTAGCAATATCCTATCATGTATATAGCACAAATTTAATCAAATCAGCAAATACTTACTGCATACTTATTCCACATAAAGCCCTGCATTGCTCTTTAAACATATATGCCCTTAAGTATTTTTAATCACTTGATGTCATTACCCCTGACCTATATGCTGGCATTCCTCTTGGTTCAATCTTAAGGCCATAGAAACTTGCTCTGTCTCCAACCATTCCACATAAGCGATTCTTCCTGAGTTTATTAATAATTCTAGTTGCCCAGTTCCTAGTTGATTTTTAGTTCTCATTCTACATGACCACTTTTTAGCATAGAGTTATAGTTACTCTACTCTGAAAGCCCCATGAAATGGTCTCCTCACTGGGCCTCAGAAATACCTTCCCCATCCATTTCTTCTTAGACCTCTCCCTTAACCACTTAATTTTTTATTCTTGCTCATCTCCCAGAGCTTACCAATGACTCTGTTTCCCTTAAAATGGATGTTGTTGGTTGCTGTTCTGCTTGCTATTTCTTGCCCTTGAGTAATCTCAGCCTCTTCCACTTGCATCTTTAGTTTTCAACTAAGTTGGAAAGGATGGATTATGAATGAACTCTGTATGTCTGATGGGAATGCTATGCTTATGGCTTCTATGAGTGCCATGACTCTACCAACAGGCATGTCCCTTGCAGGGTTTCTGGAAGATATGCTAAGGAATTGTTAGAAAATATTTTAGCTCCTGTGGAGCATGAGGCTTCTTTTAAACCAGAGAAGCCTCAACATCTGTGCAACATGGATCTCATCTCTTTGCATCTGAGTTGTGTTATCTGAAGAGAAGGTGGTCCCCAGACTACCATGTTGAGTTGTCAACCTCATAAATCCTTGCAAGGATTCCCATGGAGAGGAAGGCCCAATATTGTCCAGCTGCCAGGATGTGGTTCCTACCCCATGTCCTTCTAAGGAGACTAGTGCCAAATGTCAATCTAAACACAGCTGAACCTAAGAAAAGTTGCCCCTTTTGCCCCCACTGCTGCCTTGATGGAAAGGCAGCATTTATGGAAATTCATGATTGAATAATCTGAGTGAGGGGCAGGGCAGAATCAAGGATGAATCTTGATGGCTTCAGTGATTGGATGGGTGGAAGAGTCTATGCTTTTATTGATCTAATTGTCTCCATTTATTGAAAAAGTGAGATTATTTTTCATGAGGGCAATAGAGATGGACAAACTTAAATGTATTATGGTTTTGTTCATTTTACCTGACATTGTATTCCTTATCTTTGCTTCTCCTTCTAAATTACTCGTTATCATTTTCCCATTCTTCCAAATAATCTCCTTTCGAATGCCTTTCTGAAATTATTTTATACTTCCTCCATACTGCAATACCTTCATTAAAATACCATCACATTTTATTGTAAGTTCTTTTCTTCAAGTCTATACAATTCTCATGGATATAATAAAACCTTTTTTTACTCTGAAAAATTATTGTATCCTCAAACTTAGGATAAAAGTTGATGCTTAAGAACTTTTTTGAATAAATTATAAATTAAGGAAGTCACAAGTAAATTAAGGAGTAGAGGAACACATGCAATATTGACTCCAGTTTTGGATCAGAGAATTCTTCAAGTTGGAGTTAACATTTGATGTGGGCCTAGAATAGCTAATATTTAGAGATGTGAAAATGGGATGTGAACATTTTAGGCCTGAGGAAGCTAAGCAAAGGCACAGAGGTAAAAATATTGGATATATGGAGGGAAAATATTTATTTCATTTTCTTACATCAGAGGTTTTCCTCAGCTGCTCTTGAATCCATCCTTGGAAGGATTTTTTTTCAAACTATTTACTCATTTATCATTTACAACAGATATTATTTCCCTCCATTTATTTTACTTTGCTCATCTTTAGATATCAGGAAATTGTGAAATATTTTTATATTAATGTTTTTCCTTCAACACTTAATAAAACTAAAATAGTATAAAAAAAAAAAAAGAAAAGAAAAATCACCCACAAATCCACCATCCAAAAATAATACCTGATAACATTGTGTTGTATTTCCTTCTAGTTTTTTTTGAGGGGTAGATCTCTTTTTGAATCTAGACTTATGACTGTTCTTTGGGTATTTTGATATTTTGTGTGGAGAAAGCCCACATTCTATGGTATGTTCACTTGCTTCAGTTTGTGTTGTGTGCACTCTGCTACATTTTTTTCACATGAGATTACAGTGGGTAGAAGGAACCATTTTCTTTTAAGCATAGTGAGGAAATGCCCTACAACAAAAGGAATACGAACCTCATATTAAAAAAGACCAGCATTTGGATTCTGGCTCTTTTTTCACTAGTTGTAGTAACTTGGAAGGGCCATTTGGTCTCTCTGCCTTGGTTTACTCACATGTACAATAAAGAAAATAATGCCCACCTATTGGCTTTATGTGAGAATGAGACACAAAGAATGAAAAGTGCCTCGTACTATGCGATAAGCAGGCAATCAGTGAATGCCCTATGTATGCAATGCAAAGTAGAAGATTCAAGTGTCCATCACCATAACAGAACAAAACAACCCATTTAAGATCTCTGGAGGCACCAGTTACAAAATGTTTTGGAAGGAAGTTGGCATCTTACAGATCTGCATGTCTGTGTCAGGGAAGGAATGGCAACTACTTTGTTCAAAGCCTTTGGTCTCCCATTGCTTAGCAGCCAGTGGTGAATGGATCTTACTACCATAAGTGTGTGAAACTCACTGACATCATCCCTCTGGTGTGGCTTCAGAGGGAAACAAAATTGAGAACCACTAGTTTGAGTAATTTCCTCAGTTCACCACCAGACACTGGGCCATCCCTTCTATGGCCTTTCACCTGGAGGGATGAACTAGAACCCCATGTATCTTCTGTGTGTTCA